ACAAAATAAACAAACATTTCCTTTACTGATTTATTTTCCTTAAAATATTTCAACACACATACTAATAAATGGACTTAATGATAAATACATTGAAAAATTATTATTCACAGAGTTTGTTTTTAGTTTTCAGAACAGTTATATTAATAACTTAAAGTCCATGGGTGCTAATTTGATAATAACCGTTTTCATATTGTGAAACACAATAATAATCAGATTAAATTTGCGCCATATGAAAAGCATATAGAATTCAAAAAGGAGGTAAATCATAATTTAAAAACAAAAAACGGCAGTCCAATCGCTATTGAAAGTTATAGTAAAGGAAGCTATATCTTCCAAACGTTCTGATTGGTGGGTTTCTTTCATTGTGATAACATCTTAGAAATATTGAAGGGTTACTTTTGATTGCGAGTTATTTCCTAGTCTCAAGTATAATTTAAATATATTCACTTCAATATTATTTTAAAGAAACCAATGAATAATTTTTGTAAGGCTCGTTATCTTGATTTATACTATTTTGGTTTGGTAAATTATTTATTATTTTGGGAATATAATTGTTGTTATAAAAATGTTCTTATTTATAAGTTAAAATTCATTGTAATTCTGTTTACTCAATTATTTTTGTCTAAATTCTTGGAAAAAGTGAGTCCGAGCGTGACTCTAAAGGCCCATGGTTAGCATCCCCTTGCCGTAAAATGTCACCCCGCATTTCGAGGATGTGGGTGCATTATAAGAGAGAGGGTCAAATCCTACTATGGATCAGAAATGTCCAAGAACTGACTAGTTGCTTTCCGTCGAGTCGATCAGCTCAAATTTAGAGATAGTTAGCGCCGATAATCCTTGTGTAGCCTTGCAACAGACAAACAAATCGAAGTCGGTTTGTGATCGTTAAAGGTCCTTAACGTAGATAAACTAATTCAATCAAAAATTAACGCCTTTCTTTTCAATGAATTTTCTTCAACGCCGACCTTATATCTTTGTGTCAATTATCATTTGTTGAATCTGAAACTTACATAATGCTGTAACAAATAAAATCAAATATCGCATTTAACATTAGACTTATACAAGGGTCGCGGTGCTTAAATATATAAAAGATTCTAAGTGCGAAGAAATTATGATTTTACAACTGTTCATTTACAACAGGTTCATAATTTCAAATTGAAGACAGATGCGTCATAGTTATAAAGAAAAATATAAAAACATAAAACAGGTGTGACATTATTGCAAAAGATTTAGACATCCACAAATATTTAAAAATATGATATTCTACTCTGAATATGCACAATAATAATATTTTTTCAAACACTACATGTATGAGTTTTCGAAGATTTTATATCTCAACAGACGAGAAAGAACGTGTATTGCCCCTTAGTGACGCATTGTTTAACCAGATCTTGACAGTATCTTTCCTTTTTATTTTCCATTATTCATTTTTCGATTACGAAATATGAGGTTTTATGATAGTAGTTTGTTTGTAACGTTTAAAGTTTACATAAAAGCAATGATTGTTATACTATTCAAACTTCTTACTAGCTTTGCTCATTCTATAGACACCTCATTTGTAATCTAAAACTCAAGATAATGAAGATAGACTAATGTTTTATTAGCAAACCAGTACTTGCGTCTTCGAGATTACAGTAACTGGCTTTCTCGTGGGTGACTACTTGACGTCTAGCAAAGAAGCCGTGCGGTGGCGCTTCGAGCGAATAGGGAAGGTTGTGAGAGAGTCGTCAGAGAAATCGAGGTGCTTTTTGCAAGCAGATTAGTTTGTAGTAGTAGCCTGACTGTTGTGAGAGCTTATACCGCGTGTGGAGGTGAGCTGCTTGTTCGAGTTACATGCAATTCATAGAGAATTATTTTATTCTATTAACATAAGGTATCACATCCGTAATTTTTTTTTTCTGTAGTTCGAAAGATGTCTTCCACATGTGTTGGTCGGTACACAACATAATAGAGAAATTATGTCTTGTGTAGGTTATGGTGGGTGCTCTATGCTTACCTGTACCGTTGTTGAACCATTAATATTTATATCTAACATATACTGCATTTTCGGTCGTATTTTTTCGGTTTGCTATTAATATTTTTTCACTAATTCACGTAACATATATTTTTTTACTGATCAGAATTAAGTAACTAAATAAGATGTATAAACTGTACAAAATCATAATACTTTAGATACTTTTTTTTTTGGTCAAATCCAAAGTTCCTAAGAGTAATGAAAAAAACTGTATTGTCTTAAAAGGTTTAGGTTAAAGTTTATCCGATGTTTCTAATCATATAATCTGCTTTCCTATTTTCAGATTATTTATTTACTGGTGTTTCTTCAGGAAACTAGAGATATCTTATTGTCGACAGAGCCAGTGTTACCATAAACTCGAAAGGTATTTGAGATAATGTTTTTGGGCTATCTTTTTTTCCGATGAAATTACTGAATGCAAATTCTCAAGAATATATTCACTGTATGTGTCGCCCATATCTCGTATCAGTGTAAATTGTAAGGAAGATGACTGTTGGCAGCAGCAGCCTGTTTTACTGTATTTTTACTTCAGCTGTTGGAAAGCAAGACGAAAGCTAACAAAGTCTGCATACAGCTAAATGTAGGTTCTGTTAATAAACATGGGTTGTACACCTAGTATAAATCAGTCTGGTGTTGTACGCTGTCAGGAGTCGGACCGTTCTTCATCTGACACAAATCCTAATAATCACCAAATGAACTGGCTCGAGGGAAGCTTCCGAAGGATGGTGTCGTCAGACGAGGCGGTAGAAAGCGGAGGGTCAACCGGAAATAGTTTGCAGATAGTTTCCTGTTCAAAGTCGGGGATTGTGCAGAGTGACCAGAACACATCATGGATGTACAGAGAACGTGACTTGAAGGTAGGAGCTGTCACCCTTTCTTATAAGTTATTCAGACACACATTAAATGATAATGGGCCATTTTTTCTATCTTATAGGAACATCGTATAAGTGATAGTGCATTAAAAAATACGTAGTTTTTTATATATTTGGCAAAGTTGTGTTTCATTCTTTCTTTAATATTAGTTTCAGTAATTGCGGATTATTTGACATTGTTAGCTGGTCTATTAAAATGTGGATTTACGACTAAATAAATCTAAACTTTTCGAAACTTAAATGTGATACATCTTAATAAGATTTGATAAGAGCCTAACATATCGATCACAGAAAGGGTATCCAGTTGATGGATCAACGTATTATAATTTTTTGTTTTATGACCTTGCATATTCTTAGTTTGATCAGAAGTTATTAGTAATAAGTTTGGTTATAAATGTTGCTGTGTTCTTCAATAGGCTTAAAATACGTAAACATGCAACAAAAACAAGTTTCATATCAGTGAAAAGCTACAGCTAATCGATGACGTTTCTTTGAAACCATTGTTTTTGATTGATTTCGCGTTAAAAATAGCGATTACAAAACAATCAAATAAACAACTAGATATAATTAAAAATAATCTTATTGAAGGGCTAGACCAATTTATTGCTTGAGCTGGTTTATTTAGATACTCAACCCTTGGCTTAATGTTTTATAAATTATGTTTTTCTAGTTTGTTTGGAAAGATAAAAGTAGCAATAAATCAGACAAAATTTTATTAGAAATATATAAATGTAGTAAGTCATAAAATTGTCTAATTTAATCAGTACCGGCTCCGGGTTTTCTTAATATACAATAAAGCTAAATATAAAATAAGTCTAAAATTAAATTAATGGATGGTGTTGGGAATTTCAGGGAAGCCTGCCACTCCCACCCCTGCCAACATCGGTCTTGCATTTAGTTTTTCAGCACGTATTTACAGTACAAATTTTTCAAATATATAGTAGTCATAACGCTTCACTTGCCTGAGCTTATTAATAGAAATGAAATTTATCTAATGAAGTCTTTCATAGTGGTTTTTAACCTTAGTACGTATAACATTTTCACTTCCAAAAATTAACTTTTGTAAAAATGAAGGTACAAGTCATACAAGATCTACCAAGAACAGTTCATTCAAGTTTTGTTTGATTGTGTTAGATTTTATTACATTTAATACATTGCATAGAATTACCAGTGGCGACACCTTCAAGAGATAAACAAATATAGCTTTGAAGCTTTAGGCTAGATTCATAAAAGAAGGAGAGAAGAACGTATCTATATATTTTTTTACGCCAATGTTTCTACATCGCAAAATGAAAGCCTAAATTAATTAGAGATATCTAGGTAAGGTGTTTTACATCTTATGTTTGACTCTGTGAAAAATAACTCCAGAACATTTTATTAGCATTGGTTTCCCATTAACCTTTTTATTCAGGTATAAAAACGTTTTAAAAATAAATATGAAGCCCAATCTATCATTCGATTCACCACTTGCACGGAGTTATACTGGTTTCGGGGAATTCCACCCCTTTTTAGTAACCCTAGATAAGAGCAAATCGAAAGAACAAAACTAGGCTTTATATAGTGGTGAAGTGTACATATTCTTCAAATCTTACATAATTATAGGTTCACTGTGGTGAGTAAAAGACAATACAGAACACTGTACATATTATAACAAACTACAATTTATAAAGATAGTAAATATCAATGACACTGTCAGCCTTTGTACTGTTTTAAAATAATTAGTCGATGACTAAAATGAGATATCTGGAAAATATAATAGAGACACTTTGTCGAGCTTACGACATCATCATTCAACTTTAGTTTTTACATGATATTGTATGAGATAGCGTTTGACAACGAATTTGCATTTCTATTGATATTCAGGTTTTAAGTTAGCTCACGATATTGTCTGGTCGTAGACATTGAAGAGATCTTTATCTGGCCCTCATCTTTGCAATGAAGGTAATAATCTCAGTTTACAACAAATCTTACTACCAAGATCTACAAAATATACCAAATGTATTGGGACAACTAACAAAAAATACCCGTGCTGCGTTGAGAGGTCCACTCACGATTCACAAAGGACCCAATGTACAAATCAAGTTAAAATCACTTCTTTAGCTACCACACAGGAGATACATACCTGTAAACAAACCCCGTTAAAGCCTCCAAAACTGTGGAAGGGGTTCAGACAAACAAATTCACAAACACACTGCATGAATAACTGAAATAATACATTTCGAGAAAGTTATCCCATTGTTGATAATCACAGCCTCTGATAGACATTCAGCGAAAGATTCTACCATTACTATTACGAAGCAGGGCCTGCCCTTTCTATTTCACATCGGTTCACTTGCCTTCAGGTTCATATAATAATTGCTGATCAATGATATACAATAGTTGATTTATTAAATCAATCAGTTCACATGTCAAGCCTTTTAATATTAAATAAATTGTTAAAACCGTTTATTCAGTCTACATTTTAGACGTTTCACTGTTTGAGTGGAGAAAATACACTTTGTGTGAAATATAATATTATCTTACTAGTCATGACTAAAAAAATGAAGGCAACGTAACGTTATTGGAGTCTTTATAAAATATATTTCATTACGACATGTCATCCTCTTCTTTAAGTACAAATCAAGCTTGGGTTTGGTAGGTTTTCCAGAAAACTCCAGACATTCTCAAAGCACTAATTATTCCACACATTAACCAAGACAATGCTATGTTGAAAATAATAAAAGAAAATATTCTTTAAATTCCTGCCTGAAAAATATTCAAAGAAACAGTCAACAAACTACTGACAACAGATGCAAATGGAAAACAACAACAAAATAAACCTTCAATTGCCTGTAATAACAGTACTGCTTTATTCTCTACAGCCACATCTTAAAACTTCACAGTTCAAGGTGTGAAGTTATCCCTAAATTATATTAAAAATTATTACGATACCTAATTTAATTTACAATTATAACACATTATAATCAATATTCAATATTTCTTTCATTCAGGTTATTCAGTATATTTAGTTTTGCCTTTGATAATACACATTGTAAACACTAATAATAAGAAAATAACTAGTCGAATTTAATTTAAAAATAACTGTACACTTCCAAGATTGGCACTCATTATAAATAATAATAATAAGTTTAATTTTTTTCATATTTTCAATAAACAAAGTTTTAGCTAGATGTCCACTTCAGGAACAAGATGTTCTTTAACATAAAGCCCCCCAGTGGCACAGCGGTATGTCTGCGGACTTACAACGCTAGAATTCGGGTTTCGATACCCGAGGTGGGCAGAGCACAGATAGCCCATTGTGTATCTTTGTGCTTAATTACAAACAATCAAACTTTAACATAAAACAGGAGAAACATCGTTCACGTGATTGAACCGATGGTGACACCTAATGGAGAGCTTTCTAATTTTTTTTTCTCATAGATTGTATATGCCTGTTTGTTTGTTATTAAGCACAAAGTTACACAATCTTATTTCTGGTGTTATAAACCTCACACTTACCACTGAGCCACCGGAGGTAGCTGCTATGTCCGAAGTGGGCCTATAAACCGAAACGTTACACATCAAAATTATTATCTAAGATTGTTATAAGTACTAAGACTTACCGCATCCTGATAGCTCGTGATAAATCTGAGTACTTATAACGCTAAAATTTGGGTTTCGATACTAGCAGTGGACAGAGCACAAATAGCCCATTGTGCAGCTTTGTGTTTGTTGATAAAGGCAAAAGAAATCAGTAAGACATATATGTTGAATTTCAATCCTCAGCTTTATGTTTTAAGTTAATATTGTAAAAGCGAACCATCTATTTGATCTTGAACCCAAAAGACTTTGTAATAATAATGTGTATTGGTGTTTTATCTACTTTGTAATAGTAAAGTGTGTTGGTATTTTACCTACTTTGTAATAGTAACGTGTGTTGGTGTTTTACCTACTTTGTAATAGTAACGTGTGTTGGTATTTTATCTACTTTGTAATAGTAAAGTGTGTTGGTGTGTTACCTACTTTGTAATAGTAACGTGTGTTGGTATTTTATCTACTTTGTAATAGTAAAGTGTGTTGGTATTTTACCTACTTTGTAATAGTAACATGTGTTGGTGTTTTATCTACTTTGTAATAGTAACGTGTGTTGGTATTTTACCTACTTTGTAATAGTAAAGTGTGTTGGTGTTTTACCTACTTTGTAATAGTAACGCGTGTTGGTATTTTACCTACTTTGTACTAGTAACGTGTGTTGGTATTTTACCTACTTTGTAATAGTAAAGTGTATTGGTATTTTATCTACTTTGTAATAGTAAAGTGTGTTGGTGTTTTACCTACTTTGTAATAGTAAAATGTGTTGGTGTTTTACCAACTTTGTAATAGTAAAGTGTGGTGGTATTTTACCTACTTTGTAATAGTAAAGTGTGTTGGTGTTTTATCTACTTTGTAATAGTAAAGTGTGTTGGTGTTTTACCTACTTGTTCCTTTCTTTCGTAATTTGATCGAGATTAATAAAAATGAAAAAAGTTATAAAGATCATTAGAACCACCAACAATGTCGTGTAAAACATATCAGAGAATGGATAGTAGAACATCAGTGATGAGTTGAATATATTGAACGTAGGATTGCATTGGTCACAAAGTGGTGGTGGTAAATATTTATCATAGAAGCGCCTTTGAAATAGGTTACCAATCTGGAAACAGGTATACTTTCAGAAAGTATTATCTCCAGTTCGGAGTGAACGAGACTGATAAGAAATGTTATACAAGTAATTAGACGCCATTTTAATTGTATATATAAACCGTTTTGGTAAGCAGTGAAATATATTCATGATCAAAAATTATGTGGCTACTAACACGAGTCTGAGGGGAGTTTCATTTATCAAGCAGATAACCCTCTCTGTAAATTACAGGTTTCGTTAACGACATCACGCGGCTTATGATTAGATTTAAGAACAGGCGTGCCTTGTAAAGGTGTAGGCTGAACAAATGAACGATAACATATTA